AATCCTCCTTATTTATTTATTTATTTATTTATGAGACGGAGTCTCGCTCTGTCGCCCCAGCTGGAGTGCAGTGGTGCCATCTTGGTTCACTGTAACCTCCGCCTCCCAGGTTCAAGCGATCCTCTTGCCTCAGCTTCCCCAGTAGCTGGGATTATAGGCGCCCGCCAGCATGCCCGGCTAATTGTATTTTTAGTAGAGACAAAGGTTTGGTCGGCTTACCAAAGTGCTGGGATTACAGGCGAGAGCCACTGCGCCCAGCCCCCCACCCTATTTTTAATCCAACTAAATACGCTTAAACTTTACTCCTGTGGTTGCTTCACTGAATGTCTTTGTATGTTTTATACAGTTTTAAATTCAAGTTTAATACGAAGACTGGAAAGTGCACAGATCACGGCCTCTACAAGGAGGCTTCCGACAGAGCTGGCGATGGGCTCCTGTGCTCCCAGGAGCGTCCTGCCTTCCTGGCTCCTGCGGCCGCTGCCAGACCCGTGCTGGGAGAATACCACAGTATGGAGTGACTCTCTCTGCTCGATGCCACGGTGTGGGGTGACTCCCCCTGAGATGCCACGGTGTGGGGGGACTCTCTCTGCTCGATGCCACGGTGTGGGGGGACTCCCCCTGCGATCCCACGGTGTGGCGTGACTCCCCCTGCTCAGTGCCACGGTGTGGCGTGACTCCCCCTGCTCAGTGCCACGGTGTGGCGTGACTCCCCCTGCTCAGTGCCACGGTGTGGCGTGACTCCCCCTGCTCAGTGCCACGGTGTGGCGTGACTCCCCCTGCTCAGTGCCACGGTGTGGCGTGACTCCCCCTGCTCAGTGCCACGGTGTGGCGTGACTCCCCCTGCTCAGTGCCACGGTGTGGCGTGACTCCCCCTGCTCAGTGCCACGGTGTGGGGGGACTCCCCCTGCTCAGTGCCACGGTGTGGGGGACTCCCCCTGCTCAGTGCCACGGTGTGGGGGACTCCCCCTGCTCAGTGCCAGGTGTGGGGGGACTCCCCTGTCAGTGCCACGGTGTGGGGGGACTCCCCCTGCTCAGTGCCACGGTGTGGGGGGACTCCCCCTGCTCAGTGCCACGGTGTGGGGGGACTCCCCCTGCTCAGTGCCACGGTGTGGGGGGACTCCCCCTGCTCAGTGCCACGGTGTGGGGGGACTCCCCTGCTCAGTGCCACGGTGTGGGGGGACTCCCCCTGCTCAGTGCCACGGTGTGGGGGGACTCCCCCTGCTCAGTGCCACGGTGTGGGGGGACTCCCCCTGCTCAGTGCCACGGTGTGGGGACACTCCCCCTGCTCAGTGCCACGGTGTGGGGACACTCCCCCTGCTCAGTGCCACGGTGTGGGGGGACTCCCCCTGCTCAGTGCCACGGTGTGGGGGGACTCCCCCTGCTCAGTGCCACGGTGTGGGGGGACTCCCCCTGCTCAGTGCCACGGTGTGGGGGGACTCCCCCTGCTCAGTGCCACGGTGTGGGGGGACTCCCCCTGCTCAGTGCCACGGTGTGGCGTGACTCCCCCTGCTCAGTGCCACGGTGTGGCGTGACTCCCCCTGCTCAGTGCCACGGTGTGGCGTGACTCCCCCTGCTCAGTGCCACGGTGTGGCGTGACTCCCCCTGCTCAGTGCCACGGTGTGGCGTGACTCCCCCTGCTCAGTGCCACGGTGTGGCGTGACTCCCCCTGCTCAGTGCCACGGTGTGGCGTGACTCCCCCTGCTCAGTGCCACGGTGTGGCGTGACTCTCCCTGCTCAGTGCCACGGTGTGGCGTGACTCTCCCTGCTCAGTGCCACGGTGTGGCGTGACTCTCCCTGCTCAGTGCCACGGTGTGGCGTGACTCTCCCTGCTCAGTGCCACGGTGTGGGGGGACTCCCTGCTCAGTGCCACGGTGTGGGGGGGACTCCCTGCTCAGTGCCACGGTGTGGGGGGACTCCCTGCTCAGTGCCACGGTGTGGGGGGACTCCCTGCTCAGTGCCACGGTGTGGAGTGACTCTCCCTGCTCAGTGCCACGGTGTGGAGTGACTCTCCCTGCTCAGTGCCACAGTGTGGGGGGACTCCCTGCTCAGTGCCACGGTGTGGGGGGACTCCCTGCTCAGTGCCACGGTGTGGGGGGACTCCCTGCTCAGTGCCACGGTGTGGGGGGACTCCCTGCTCAGTGCCACGGTGTGGGGGGCCTCCCTGCTCAGTGCCACGGTGTGGGGTGACTCCCTGCTCAGTGCCACGGTGTGGGGTGACTCCCTGCTCAGTGCCACGGTGTGGAGTGACTCCCTGCTCAGTGCCATGGTGTGGCGTGACTCCCTGCTCAGTGCCATGGTGTGGAGTGACTCTCCCTGCTCAGTGCCATGGTGTGGAGTGACTCCCTGCTCAGTGCCATGGTGTGGAGTGACTCCCTGCTCAGTGCCACGGTGTGGGGTGACTCTCCCTGTTCAGTGCCACAGTGTGGGGTGACTCCCTGCTCTGCCCAGTGTTTTCTTCTTGAAGTCCGAGGACACGATTGTTCCTGCTTCCTCCGTGCGCCATCCTGCCCCATCCCTGTTCGTCTTTTTATTTGTATGGCTCATGGCTGCTTATGTTCTAGCTGCCAACCCACCCTCGGGGCTGAGTTCACCAAATCACTCCACGATGCAGAGCAGGCTGTTACAAATCCACTGTTACGGGAAGGCCACCCCATCCTCTCTTTGCCTCTCTCCCCCACCAGCTCCCCTCTCCCCCATCTATCACTTCTATTCCCTGGTCCCTGCTCACCTGCCGACCCCCGCAGAGCAGTCCCTTCATGCACCTGCCCCTCCCAACTTGCCCTGCCCCTCACGGGCAGAATCTGCAGCACGGGGCCTGGCTCAGGGCGAGGGTTCCAGGGGCATTCAGTGAAGGAATGAACAGACCGGCTGAGGCTGTGAAGCCCAGGGTCACAAAGCCAGACTGAGCCCCTCACCCTGGGCACTGCGCACACCTGTGTGTCTGTGTGTGTTCGGCTTCCCGACTGAGCAGCTGGCAGATGCACAGAACTCAGTCCCAGAGCCAAAGGGGACAAAGATGAAGTCTCCCAGGCTGGGCAGCTTGGGCTGGCACCCGCTCGTCCTTCCCATGCAGCCCACCCAGCAGCTGGAGCTCCCACAGAGACGCAGGGCCCGGGGCCAGGTGGCTGCGGACTGCCTGGAGCATGCTTCCAGAGCAAGGGCCTCAGCCTTCCACGATGCTGCTCTGCCGCCTCCTCGCCGCCTTCACCAGCCTCCTGGGGCAGGCAGCCACCACGCTGGAGGAAGCTGCTTCTCCCAACGAGGCTGTCCACGCATCAACATCAGGCAGTGGCGCACCCACTGATCAGAGACATTCACAGACCTCTCAGCTGCCGAGGCCCCCTCAGAGAAGGTTCCTGACTTCATGGAGGTGCCACACTCTGCTCACATACAATTAATTGCTTTTTCTACTTAGAAAAACGACTCTGCCAACTGCCATCCCCACTGTGTCTAAGCGGCTTGCTTACTTTAAAATTAAAAACCACAATGGTCCCAGCTCCTGGCGGGTGCTGGGGTTTCCAACCTCACGAGGCATTCCCACTTCTGGTGGGCACCTCCTGGACGCTGGCAGAGCACAGTCGATCCCGTGTGGGCGGCCTCCTCTCAGCCAAGCCCAGGGTGAGGGCAGTGGGGCTCCAAGGAGGGGAAGCTGGCGAGGATGAGGGCCAGCGGGCATAGGGCGGCCTGCAGGGGGGTTGGCAGTTGGACCCCCAGTCCCCTGGGAAGCCAAACTGAGAGGTTTAGACTCGGGGGGTAAAATGGATAAATGAAGATTTTCTGGGATGGCTTATTTTCTAATTTTACAATGCTGTGCTTATTAATCAGCAAAAGATCCCAGTAATGCCGACATCAGGCGCTTAAACTACACCCTCAGCCGGTCAGAATGGGCACAGGACATGGCTCAATTCTGGTTTAGGGCTCCATCCACGAACACCTGGGCTGGGTTCCATCTGCTAGGCCAGGCCCTGTTGGCAGCTCCAGGCCTCAGCACGACCCTCACCTGTCTGGTCTCTCCTGGAACCGAGATGAAATGGGGCAGCAGGACCTCCCTGGCTCCTCCCAAGGCTCTCGGAAGGAGCAGGGATGCTCGGAGCCACTGACGGGCACAGAGCTGGGGAACAAAAGGCTGCCAGCTGTGGAGAGCACTGCCCTGGGGACCCAGGACCGTCCCTTTAGTTGAGAGATGAGGGCCTGGAGAAGGCAGAGTGGTGAAGCGTGGCTGACCCAGCCGGCTGGTGCAGAGTCTGTCTGGTTCCCACTTCTGGGGTCTTCCGTGCTGCACCCAGAGCCCTCTGCTGGGTGAATACTGGGCAGAAGGACTTCCCAGCCAGCACCTCGGAGAACAGTGGGTATCACCCCGTGAAGGGGCCAACAGTCCACAGGGTGCTCGGGACGCCTCACAGAGGAACATGTGGGGTGGGTCAGGGGCTGGACACTAATCCACAGGGAGTCCCACAGGTAGAGCACGGGGCCCAGCAGGGTGTGCCTCTGATGAGTGGGGTGCAAGGAGGGCTCTCCCACTAAGTTGCCAGGGACTAGCTTAGTGAGGTTAAACAGTGCGTCCCCAGTCACACAACTCCCAGTGGCCTGGCTGGAAGGGACCCCAGGCTGTGTGATTTCTTGCCCAGCCCTGTCCCTAAAGCATCACAGTCCAGGTGCCGTGAAGAGGGTTCCAGGGACCAGAGGTCACGTGCCGCACCCTGCAGGGGTCGCGCTGCTGAGGGGCACGCTGGCCCAGGGAAGGTTCCGCGGGGAGCTTGTCACACAGTCACATCAAATAACTCATAACTTGGGCAGCATTTCCACTGCCGTGACCACATGACCACTGCCAGGCTCGTCTTCTCAGCTAGACGAGCTTTCAACCAGCGGGAGGTGAGCGGCGCAACGCAGGCAGCGCTTCTCAAAACTCTTCCACAAATAACCCTGTGAACTAAAATTTAATAAACCTCTCTCCTAGTAGAAAATCAAACTCGGGTTCTTTTGAAAGGGCATTTACTTACTTGAAAATCTTTTTCTTCTAGTATTTCCTTCCTCCATCTCACGAGAAAAGCAGCGCACACGTACAAGTGGAAATGAGAAAAGCCCTCTGGTTCAGACTAAAAGAGAAAAAATAACCAAGAGAGAAATTGTAAAGTGTGATCCATGAACATCACTGCAAGGGTATCTGCAACAGTCAGGGTTTATCTAGTCAGGGTTCAGAGAAAACCAAAGCTTGTGTTGACGTACTTTTACTTAATGCCTTAATATCAAAATTGTCAGCTCATTAAAACAAACACCATTTCCTCTTTAAGTACCAGCAGGCTGATAAACAGCAAGTGAATAGCAGACCAAGCTTCAGGCAGCCTCAGAGGCGGTTGTTCACTCCTCTCTTGCACAGACAATAGCCAAAAAGCATGAGAGACAAATTCAACGTGTGCTGGTGCCGTGCCAGGCACAGAGTCTGCTCCTCACAACGGCGTGTGAGGGAGGCCTCCTCCCACTCCACAGATGAGGAAACAAGGCTGAGCCCGGGCCAGGCCCAGTCAAGCCGGAGATCAGGCACTGGGCCCAGGGCCACCACCTGGTCCGGGTCTCCCTGGGAAACGAACAGGGAAGTGATGCTGATCGGAAGCCACAGATGTGGAAGGACACGGCTCACACCCCTCAAATCACCACCCATGTCTCTCTCTCCTCACTGTCATTCAAACGTGCCTCCCTGCTCCCCCTTCTTCAGGTAGCTACCCCTTACTCATCCCGGAAACCCAGGACCACTGTCAGCTCCCAGAGACCCTCCCATACTGAGGTGCGGGGCGTGCACACCTTGGGGCTGTGGTATTAGTTCAAGCACACATGGCCAACTGCAAAGACTGAGGGTTCCCAAAACTCCAGTTCTTGGGGTACCACCTTTACTTTTCTGCCTTGCCCATGCAACATCTGTAGGACTACTGTCAATGGTTCAGTAAGTAAACAAATCAAACGCACAGTGCATTAGATGGTGTGCTATGGAGAAAACAAGGCAAAGACTGGGACGAGGAACAGCAAGGGGGTTTGTCTGTGAAGAGGGGGATACCACTTTAGTAAAATGGTCAGTCACCTAAGGTGACAGATGAGCAAACATTCAGAGAGAAAAGGCGTTTATTATTATTATTATTATTATTATTTTCTTCACTGAGACGGAATTTCGCTCTGTTGCCCAGGCTGGAGGGTAGTAGCATGATCTCGGCTCACTGCAACCTCCGCCTCCCGGGTTCAAGCAATGTTCTTGTCTCAGCCTCCTGAGTAGCTGGGATTACAGCTGCACGCCACCATGCCAGACTAATTTTTGTATTTTTAGTAGTGGGGTTTCACCATGTTGGCCAGGCTGGTCTTGAACTCCTGATCTCAGGTGATCCACTTGCCTCAGCTTCCCAAAGTGCTGGGATTACAGGTGTGAGCCACCGCCCCTGGCCATTTACACACATGGCAGAGAAACATTCCAGGTAAAAGCTACAGGAAGCACAGAGACCCTGTGGTTAGAGGCTGCCTAGCACGTTCCAGAAATAGCGAGGAGACCAGCACAGCTACGGCAGAGCGAGGTGAGCAAAGGCAAGCGTTGGCAGGCACGTGTGGGGTATAGATCCTCGGGGCTCTGAGCAGAGAACGACACAGGCTTCAGAAGCATCCCTCCGAGTGTCATGCTGACAATGGATGGCACAAGGCAGGGTGGGGAGAGGCAGAACCAGGAGAACCAGGAGGCAGGTGAGGGGACCATGGTAGTCAGAATTCAAGAAGGGCTAGTGACTCGGGCCAAGGGGGAGCAGGGAAGCTTGTGGGAAGACCAATTCGAGATGTATTTTGAAGGTTTTACAGAAAACCTACACCAACACGTATGAGAGATCTGGGGTAGGAGAGAAAGGAACCAAGAGCCACTCTGACAATTTGAGCCTCTACAGCTGGAAGTGTGAAGCTGCCAGTTCCTAAGACGGGGGAAGGTTTGTGGAAAAGGCTGTAGGAGACAGTGATTTGGTGGGAAGGCCGTGAGCTGTTCTTTGGAACTACCAAGTTTAAGACACTTGGGGATCCAGGTGGAGATGCCAGGGAGGTACACGGACACAAAAGACCAGAGAGTGACCAGTGATTTGGGACAGAAATAAACACCAAGGACTAAACCGCCCACAGGAATGACCAGAAAGCTGGGGCCAGACCAGAGAACATGAAGAGGGTGCATATTCTAGAGTTCTTGGATAGAGTGCCCTGCATATGTCCACTAGATAAAGTTCATCAGCAGCGTTGGTTCAAGTTTCCTATAAATCCTGTGGTTTTTTTTTTTTTTTCCATCTACTTATAATCTATCAATAACTGACAGGTATGCTTCAAAACTCCCATTATGAGAGTGAGTTTATGTCTTTCTCCTAATGGTTCTGCCAATCTTTGTTTTCTGTGTTTGGAAGGTATGTTATCAGGAGCACACGAATTCAAAATTGTTTTCTCTTCATGGTGTACTGAACAGTATAAATACTTATGACCTCTAACCTTACACAGGGCTTTTGCTCTGAAGTCTCTAGTGGGGAGGAAGGAGTCTAACTGACTACAACTATGTATCAGTTTTTGTTGGGTAATGTATTTTAAACAGCTCTCCTGAGGTATAATTGTTAAATAATAAATTTTACATACTTCAGGCTGGGCGTGGTCGCTCATGCCTGTAATCCCAACACTTTGGGAGGCTGAGACGGGTGGATCACAAGGTCAGGAGATGGAGACCATCCTGGCTAACATGGTGAAATCCTGACTCTACTAAAAATACAAAAAATCAGCCAGGTGTGGTGGTGTGCGCCTGTAGTCCCAGCTACTTGGGAGGCTGAGGCAGGAGAATGGCGTGAACCCAGGAGGCGGAGCTTGCAGTGAGCCGAGATTGTGCCACTGCACTCCAGCCTGGGTGACAGAGCGAGACTCCATCTCATTTAAAAAAAAAAAAAAAAAAAAAAAAAAAACTTTACATACTTCAAGTTTACAATTTGATATGTTTTGATATATGCATACACCTGGGAAAACACCATCACAACCAAGGTAGTGGACATATCTATGGCTCCAAACGTTTTTTTGTGGCCATTTGTAAATCCTCCCTTCGAGCCCTCCCAGTCCCAATCACCGACTTACTCATGTCACTACACATTAGCTTACATTTCCAACACTTTCAAATAAAGGGAATCCTATAATACACATTTGGTTTTGGTCTAGCTTTTCCACATAGGATGATTACCTTAGATTCACCGTGACATTGCATGTACCAATCACTCATTTCTATCAACGCTGAGCAGCACCCACTGCATGGATATACCACAGTTTGTTCATCCATTCGTCTGCTGAAGGACTGAATTGTTTCTAGTTTGGGGCTACTATGCAGAAAGATGCCATGAACATTTGTGTACTCATCTTTGAATGGACATAGGCTTTCATTTTGCTTGGAAAAATACTTAGGAGTAGAACAGCTGGATCATATGGAAGGAGTATGTTTACCTTTTGAAAAACCTGCCACTAGTTTTGATATAAATCTTTTATCAAATACATGCTTTGCAAATGTTTTCTCCCTGTGCCTTCTCTTTTCATCCTCTTAACAGTGACTTTTGAAGATCATGGGGTTTTTGTTGTTGTTGTTGTTGTTGTTGTTGTTGTTGTTTTTGAGACAGAGTCTCACTCTGTCGCCCAGGCTGGAGTGCAGTGGTGGGATCTCGGCTCACTGCAACCTCTGCCTCCCAGGTTCATGCCATTCTCCTGCCTCAGCCTCCCAAAGAGCTGGGACTACAGGCACCCACCACCACGCCCGGCTAATTTTTTGTATTTTTAGTAGAGATGGGGTTTCACCATGTCAGCCACGATGGTCTCAATCTCCTGACCATGATCCACTGCTTAGGCCTCCCAAAGTGTTGGGATTACAGGCGTGAGCCACCGCGCCAGGCCAGATCATGGGTTTTAAATTTTGATGAGGTTCAACCTAGTACTTTGTTCTTTTACAGATCATGCTGTTGGTGTCTTATCTAAAAAATCATTGCCTAACTCAAGGGCACAAAGGTTTTCTTCTACAAGGTTTACAGTTTTAAATTTTACTTTAGATCTATACTCCATTTTGAGTTAATTTTTGTATATGGTAAAAGGTATGGAAGTTCATTTGTTATTTGTTTGTTTGTTTTGAGATGGAGTTTCATTCTTGTTGCCCAGGCTGGAGTGCAATGGCATGATCTCGGTTCACCGCAACCTCCGCCTCCCGGGTTTAAGCAATTCTCCTGCCTCAGCCTCCTCAGTAGCTGGGATTACAGGCATGCGCCACCATGCCTGACTAATTTGGTATTTTTAATAGAGACAGGGTTTCTCCATGTTAGTCAGGCTGGTCTCAAACTCCTGACCTCAGGTGATCTGCCCACCTCGGCCTCCCAAAGTGCTGGGATTACAGGCGTGAGCCACCATGACCGGCCTGGAAGTTCATCTGTATGCACATGAATATCCAATTGTTCCAGCAATTTGTTGAAAAGACTAAACTTCAGCTAGTGCTAGCCCTCCCTTATGTCTTCTTTTTCAAGGCCGTTTTGGCTATTCCAAATCTTCTGCATTTCTGTATAAATTTTAGAACCTGTTTTGCCAATTTTTACAGAAAAGTTTGCTGGGATTTCTGACTCATGACCATAGTATAGCTTTTAATCCATCTTCTGACTCATGACCATGATATAGCTCTTCATTTAATCAGATCTTCTTTCTCTTTACCCGTGTTTGATGGTTTTCTCAGTAAAGGTCTATTATTCTGTTTTTAGATTTTCCCTAACAAGTTCATATTTTTGATGATATTGAAAATGGGGTCCTGAAAATCTTCATTTCTGTTTGTTGGTAGTTGTTGGTCTCCCCCCTAATCTTTATTTCCTTATATTTCTCTTATAACTAGCACAGCACTGGGTTTTTAAACTCCAGTCATGCTTTCTAACCGAAGAGCTTGGTTCCTGCTGGCTGTGACTCCTGACGCATTCAGGTTAATTCACATGCTCTCGTTTAGAACTTTCTAACTGTTCTACTTTTTCTATCATTTGTCTTTCTTGCCTACATGTGGACTAATCTACTTCCCTCTACATTCTAATGCCCCAACCCCAATTAA